TGATGCCTGATCTAAATATTCAATTGTGCTTTATTAATATACCTAAGGTAAAATATATATAATTTTAGTTTGTATTTAGTTGTATATATTTATTTTTATTTAATTTTTTATATTTAGTTTTTATATAGTTATATAGTTAATTATATATTGCTATGTAAATTAATATATATCAATTATGTACAAATAAATATGTATTAAATTATATCTATAACTTTACTCTTTCCTGTAATCCCCAGATTCAGGGCAAACACACATCTGGCTTCTATCAGTTAAGGAGTAGCTTTAAGCATATCCTGTCAAATTGTCTCTTCCCAAAAGCAATACCAACACATTCAGTGGATGTTATTTTTTTCCCCACAGTTATGTTCTTGATTGGACCACAAATTTTTCCATAATACTGTACTTGAAAAATAGGACATTCTAGCTCTTTATACATAATCAGCCCCCTACCTCCAGCCTTTTTTAGAGAACATTTTTTTTTTAAATGAGGCATTATGTAAATTGTATTCCAGCTCTGGAAAACCATTGAGTATTAGTTAAACCATTTTTTAATGGTTTGATTGCTGTGATTGAGTTGTTCTCATTCTTTATATCTTTGTACTAATTGGGGCTGATATAGCTAACTACCTCCTGTCCCCCACATGTCTGGGACATGCTGAATTTTATGCCAGGGTGGTTTTAAATCAGCTATTCACAAATTGAAATCAGATTATTCATTTATAATGAATTTAAAGTTAGTTAAAATTCTTTGGAGAATTCTAGACTTGAACTTTATTTTGTTAATTACACACTTAAAGGTTTAAGATGTTTTAACAGGTTTTTTTTAAACTTTTAGGAAAAAAATTATAAATAGTCCCTGTAATCTCCAGGACATTTTACTGAGTGTTTTTCAAAGTTGAACCTTAACTGCTAAAAGCTATAATTAGGTACCCATAATATTTTTCCAGTTGTAACATGATTCATGGATAGGTTGTATTTTTGCAAGAAATTTGTCTGAGGCATATGTGGTGAGGAGGTGCATTTTATCAGTGACCTGATAGAAACCATGATTCACTGGATACATCAGAGAAATTAATGGAAAGAACCCAAGTTTCAACAGCATCTTTAATAGGGGAAGGGTATGGTCTTCTAGATTTTTAAATTATACATTGAGAAATTACCTGATAACTTACAAAGTAAGTTTCTTTTTTAAATTTGCAAGTAAATAGGAAGAGGAATGTAGTGCATCCTATCTTTTATCCTTTAAGTGATCCCCATATGAAATAGCCTATATAACTTCTCAGAAATCTTCTGGATCTGCTGGGATCTGGCTGGTAAATCAGATAATCGCTAGGGTTCAGTTTTCTTTTGCATATGCAAAATGAACCTGAAAAAGTCACAAGAAAGTATTGTTTTCAAATATGTAGTGTATACCTTCTAAAATGATGCAACCTACATCTGCCTCTCAATTATGAACATTAGGAATATAAAAAAATGAAGTTTTGGGAGAAACTTTGATTCAATTAAATCTTGATTCAATGATATATTTTTTACCTGTATTTTGTAATCTATTTGTATTTGCCTTTAATTTTGATCCAATGTTCTGCTCTTGATGAACCAAAAGTTCCTAAATACCTTTACATTAATAGATCATGTTAATCAATTTGTACAAGAGCTGTATTCTGGGAAGTCAACTAGTACCTCTTCCACCAGTTACCTTGCCCCAGCACAAGTTTTTACAGGGTCTTGTATGATAGAATCCTCATAACCTCCTGTCCTCCCACAAGAAATATATACCACATATGGCACATGTGTAAGAGAATGACTGTATGTGTATATACACACATATATGGTTCCAGACTTAGGAAACATTGAAACTTTTGCTTCTGGTAAATGCAACTGATAATTAGCCCTGTTGAAGTGAGTGTGCTTCTTCTTATATGTACCTTGATAGGCTATGTAACTAAATGTTTTATCCTTATAGGTATATCTTAGGTGCATTTCTGTTTGTAAATAACATTTATTAGTATTTTTATCAGAAACATAAAAAGAGGAAAACAAAAATAATTTATAACAATGTCATCCAATTATTTTTGAAATAATAAACCACTATTTGAAATAATAAATCACTCATGTATCCTTCAAGAAAAATTTATATGTATCAGCCAGGATATGTGTGTGTATATACATACTTTCATACTTAACAGTTGACCTTTAAACAATGTGGGGTCTGGAGGTGCTGACCCCCCATGCAGTCAACAATGTGCATATAACTTTGGACTCCCCCACAACTTAACTACTAATGACCTATTGTTGACTGGAAGCATTATCAATAACATAAACAATCAAGACATATTTTATATGTGTAGGGGTGCCTGGCTGGGTCAGTGGGTAGAGCATGTGACTCTTGATCTCGGGGTTGTGAGTATGAGCCCCACATTGAGTGTAGAGATTACTTAAAAATAAAATCTTTTTTAAAAAGACCCATTTTGTATATGTATTATATATTCTATTATAATAAAATATGCTAGGGATGCCTGGGTGGCTCAGTTGGTTAAGCATCTGCCTTCAGGTCAGGTTGCAATCCCAGGGTCCTGAGATTGAGTCCTGCATCAGACTCCCTGCTCAGCGGAGAGCCTGCTTCTCCCTCTCCCTCTGCCTGTCACTCCCCCTGCTTGTGCTCTCTCTGTCAAATAAATAAATAATTTTTTTTAAATTAATTAATTAAAATATGCTAGCGAAGAGGAAATGTTATTAAGAGTATCATAAGGCATGAACTTTGACCTTAGCAACATAATTATGGATCTGTCTCTTCAGGCAAAGGAAACAAAAGCAAAAATAAACTATTGGGACTACACCAAAATAAAAAGCTTTTGCACAGCAAAGGAAACAATCAATAAAACAGAAGTCAATTTAAGAGAATGGGAAAAGATATTTTCAAATGATATATCCAATATGGAGTTATTATCCAAAATATATGAAGAACTTATACAACTCAACACCAAAAAAATACAAAGCAGTCAAAAAATCTGATTAAAAAATGGGCAGAGGACTTGAATAGACATTTTTTTCAGGGAAGACATACAGATAGCCAATAGACACATGAAAAGATGCTAAACATCACTAATCATCAGAGAAATGAAAATCAAACCTGCAATGGGATATCACCTCATACCAGCCAGATTGGCTAATATAAAAAAAAAAAAGAAATAATGACTTAGTGAGGATGTGGGCAAAAGGAAACCCTTAGCACACTGTTGGTAGGAATGTAAATTGGTGCAGCTACTGTGGAAAACAATATGGAGGTTCCTCAAAAAATTAAACATAGAAATACCATATGATTCAGTAATTCCACTACTGGGTATTTACCCAAAGAAAACAAAAACACTACTTCAAAAAGATATATGCACCCCTATGTTTATTGCAGCATTATTTACAATAACCAAGATATGGAAGCAACTCAAGTGTCCATCCAGAGATGAATGAATAAAAAAAGATGTGGTATATATGCATGATGGAATATTACTCAACCATAAAAAAAGAATGAGATCTTGCTGTTTGTGACAACACAGATGGACCTAGAGGGTATTATGCCAAGTGAAATAAATCAGAGAAAGACAAATACCATATGATTTCACTTATATGTGAAATCTAAAAAACGAATGAACAAACAAAACAAAAAAAATTCTTCAATACAGAGAACAAACTTGTGGTTGACAAAGGTGATAAGTAGGTAGGTAGGTAGGTAGGTAGGTAGATGGATAGATAGATAGATAGATAAAAGGGATTAAGAGGTACAAACTTCCAGTTATAAAACATATAAGGCATGGAGATGAAAAATACAGCATAGGGAATATAGTCAGTAATACAGTAATAATGTTGTATACTGACTGATCGTGACTACACTCATTGTGGTGGGCATTGAGTAACATATGGCATCGTTGAATCAATATATTGTACCCCTGAAACTAACACTAATGTACTCCAATTTAAAATTTGTTTAAAAGAATGTCATAAGGAAGAGAAACTACATTGACAATACCGTATCTATTGAAAAAAAATCTAACTATGAGTGGACCTGCACATTCAAACCCATGTTGTTCATGAGCATATGTAAGTACTCTTACACAGCGTCATTATTCTGATGCCTTAAGCTTTGGTGAGGATGATAAAATACTCTATTGTGAGATTATATCATAATTTATAGTCATAATTTAGCCAATAGCAATCATATTGATGGACACTCGGGTTGTTTCCAGTTCTCTGGCTATTTAAAAACAGTGTCACAGTGAACATCCTTGGACATAAACCTAGCGGCACTTTTGCAAATGTACTTGTGGAATAAGTTCCTCGCTGGGAATTGTTGGAGCAAAAGAGCACTATTTTTAAAGGCCCATAAAGCAGTGAACTCCACACTGCAGGATGACAGTTTGTTATTCTTCAAGTACCTCGGAGTGCAGAAATTGACCAATAGAGTTATGAGAGGAAAAATGAAACTGTAATAAGTCGTCACTGGGATGTACAGTGGGCTGTAAATACGGTGGTAGTAGCCCGTAATTAACTTTCATCAGCTTTAGACTTTACTGACTTGAGGGGCACCTGGGTGGCTCAGTCGTTAAGCGTCTGCCTTCGGCTCAGGTCATGATCCCAGGGTCCTGGGATTGAGCCCCACATCGGGCTCCCTGCTCCGCGGGAAGCCTGCTTCTCCCTCTCCCACTCCCCCTACTTGTCCTCCCTCTCTCACTGTGTCTCTCTCTGTCAAATAAATAAATAAAATCTTAAAAAAAAAAAAAAAAAGACTTTACTGACTTGAACTTTATGTCAGAATTTTTCCCCTGTCATTTGACAAAGCAGTCAGCACACATTCTCAGGCTTCATTTTAGATCAAAGGCCACGAAACAAAGAGGCCACAACCTTCCTGTGCTTAACTCCTTCCAAATCGACCACGCCAAGAAGACTTTTGTGATGTTCAGAAACAAACTTGCATTTTTTAATTAACGAGTGTGTTTTCCCTCCCTCAGGTGGAAGGGAAGATTTTGGAGAAGTGAACCACCGAAGAGGCCTGGCATTGCTCCTGTGACTTAGCGCTGGAGAGGAGGCAAGATGCTGGCATAGCTGTTGGACTGAGAACCTGCTATGCCAACATATTGCCATCTTTCTTGTCTGATAGCGGCCGTGGCCACTGCCTGCCACCCCTCACGAGTCGCTACGGATGTGTGCCCTTCCTTGCGTGTGGGTTTCCATGACCTGGCCCTGCTCATCTTTCTGACCTCTCTTCTGCCATGCTGCCTGTCTCTCCATTTTAGCCCCAACCGGCCTTTCTGGACGTGCCTGCCTCTTTCTCATCATCTGGGTCTCGGTGAGGGCATCAGCTCCTGAGAGAAGCCTTCCTTGGCCATGCTATCTCAAATAGCTGTCACATGCCTTGGTTGCCCTTCACCCCTGTACCCTGCCTTACTTTTTCAAAATATTGGTCACTCCCTGGAACATATTCATTGATTTAAGTGTCTTCATCTCTCACATTAGAGTGTAAGCCCCTTGAGGGTTAGGGACCTTGTTTGTCATGTTCAACCACAGAATCCCCAGAGCCTGACACACAGGAGGCCCTTGGTACATACTTTTGGAACTCCACCCTGACTTTTGTGGTGCAAGAAAGATGTCAAGTGATTATATTTTCCCCGTTACAAATGGCTTTGGTGAAACTCTGACCCACAAGTAACAATATAAAGAACTAAACAGTTGTTGAGTTCTGGACCTGCAACCCTCACTCCTTAGAGTCGTCAATATGGTATCACTGGGTCCACAGATTATATCCGTATATCATAATGAGAAAAGCGTGAGCTTCAAAATAAAGCCTCTGTGAGACTTGCACACTGGAGTTGCCTATCTGTGTGTTCTTGGACAAGTCATTTAACCTTTGAGCCATGGTTTTCTCAATTGTAAAATGAGGCTAATAATACTAATCCCAAAGGATTCTTGAGTCAAAGAGATAAGATGCTTTAGCCAAACGACTCTTACTTCATGTCCGAAAAGTTAGTGTCTATAAAATTCCTGATACACATGTAGGAGTAGGCACCCAACAAATTTTAATTATTTTACTACCAAGAAAAAAAAAGTTAATTTTTTGGGGGCGCCTGGGTGGCTCAGTTGGTTAGCGACTGCCTTCGGCTCAGGTCGTGATCCTGGAGTCCCAGGATTGAGTCCTGCATCGGGCTCCCTGCTCAGCAGGGAGTCTGCTTCTCCCTCTGACCCTCCCCTGTCTCATGCTCTCTCTCTCTCTATCTCACTCTCTCTCTCAAATAAATTAATAAAAAAAAAATCTAAAAAAAAAATATCTTGAGGGATGCCTAGGTGGCTCAGTCAGTTAAGCTTCTGCCTTCAGCTTGGGTCATGATCCCAGGGTCCTGGGATCGAGTCCCACATCAGACTACTTGCTCCGTGGGGAGCCTGCTTCTCCCTCTGCCTGCTGCTCTCCCTGCTTGCGTTCTCTCTCTCTCTCTCTGACAGATAAATAAATAAAATCTTAAAAAAAATATATCTTGAGGGACACCTGGGTGGCTCAGTTGGTTAAGCATCTGCCTTCGGCTCAGGTCATGATCCCAGGGTCCTGGGATCGAGTCCCGCATCGGGCTCCCTGCTCTGCGGGGAGCCTGCTTCTCCCTCTGCCTCTGTCTCTCTCTCTGTCTCTCATGAATAAATAAATAAAATCTTAAAATATATATATATATCTTGAGACAAACAAAAGCAAAAACACAACTTACCAAAACTTACGGAATGCAGCAAAAGCAATACTAAGAGGGAAGTTTATAGTGATCAACACCTATATGTAAAAAGAAGATCTGGGGGTGCCTGGGTGGCTCAGTTGTTGGGCGACTGCCTTCGGCTCAGGTCGTGATGCCGGATCGAGCCCCGCATTGGGCTCCCTGCTCGGCGGGGAGTCTGCTTCGCCCTCTGATCCTCTTCCCTCTCACGCGCTCTGTCTCTCATTCTTTCTCTCTTAAATTTTATTTATTTTATAAATAATATTTTATTATAAATATAAAATATATTTATATTTTATATATATTTTATATATATTTATTATATATAAAATATATAATATATTATTATAAATATAAAATATATTTATATTTTATATATATTTATATATATTTAATATATATATAAATATATATATTTTATATATATTTTATATTATAGTATAAATATAAAAAATATTTTATTAAATAAATAAAATCTTAAAAAAAAGTTAATTTTTTTTAATTAGACACAAGTAATCTGACATGAAATGAGTGGAAGTGCTATTTCAGAACCATATAGCACAGGTGGAATTCTGTGTTAAGACACAAGAGCTCTTGAGACACCAAGGAGTTAATTGTTCAAGTATCTCAAATTCTTCTCCTCTCTTGGTTAGTTCTCACTCCTCTCCCTTCCTTTATTCCTGGAGTTACTGGTCTTTGGATCTCTTTTATTTTCTTTATTTCTTTTTTCTTCTCCCTCCATTCCCCCCTTTGGATCTCTTTTAAAACAACTTTCATAGACTCAATTTATAGAGTAAGAATATTTAATAAATACTACTTGTTGTTCATGTTTTTAAGCATTGAAGCTTTAGTAAAATGTTTTGCTTTTAATAAACTAAATTTTATTTTAATTTTGATGCTTTTCCAAGAAATAAAATAACTATTAGTACTCTTGACTCTCATTATTTATTGCCACTCATGGTATTATAACTCTGAAGTCCAGAAAATGTGCATTAAGCTTTTATATCATGCCTCTGAGAGTATATTAATATGAGCTATTAATTTAACAAAAACATATAGCACAAAAGTATGGCAATTTTAGTCCACAAGTTTTATATGCGTTCTCTTTATAGCTGAGGATGATTAGTTTAGAGACATCATTTAAAACTCAATACGATAATTAAGTACTTTAAGCAGTATCATGCTACTTTTCTAGTCTGAAGTATCTAATAGATCTATGGTTTCTGTCTTGATGGTCTGTGTATTCATTACCTTGTTTTGTTCTTTTAATTCTTGAAGAAATCAATACACAGAACACCAGCCCTGGGGGGGGGTGGGTCACTGCATAAGCTAATGTTGCCCATGAAGATCCCACACAGTAGCTATAGCGGAAAATTGACATCTGCATTGCCTTATTCATTCCTTGTCTTGCTGGTAAAAACATTGGTGCACAATCAATAGACCAGGACATACTGCTTATTTTAAGAAGTGTTATTTAATACTTTTTTTTTTAACCTCTAACTTTGTTCTAAAACTTGTTTCATGAGCTTGTTTGGGCCTCTTTCACCTTTTTCAGAGTTCTGTTTACCCTCATCTACATCAGTTGACAGAGCTATCCACTGCCCATTGACCTCAATAAAAGGTGAGCTGGACCCAAGCATGGAAATGAACATGGAGCTCACTTGGATCAATCCTCCACATCTTAATGTTGTTTTACTGTAACTTGCTAAACACCTGAACCTTCCTTTTTGATTCCAAGTGGTCGTTGGGACGCTGGGGCAGCTGGGGAGTGGGGGGGTGCGTGCAACAGAGGGACGACTTAGGCAACTTAGGACATAGGAAGAGCAAAGTGGAAGACTAAGAAATTACTATTCTCCTGTATCCAGTAATTTCCTTAAGTCTGTGGTTTTCAACCTTCAGCATTCATTATCAGTTACCTGGAGAGCTTGTTAAGAAATGCAGATCCCAAACCATCCCCCAGACATTTCTGATGTAATGGGTCTTGATTGAGACGCAGGTATCTTCATTAACAAGTCCCTTGATAGTTTGACAGTGTACTACACTTTGAGAACACTTGTCTTCAGTCTGAAATCAGAGGGCAAGTTTTTAAAAATCTCATACAGTTCCCAGTATGGAACTTGGGCGTGGTCTTGAAAGCAATCTGCTTTCCTGCTGCATCTGTGCTTATGGAAAACTGGAACAGGGTTTTGTGATTGTGTTTTCCTTATGCTCTGGGCTTCCTTATACACAAACAGCCCATATCACTGCACACAGGAGCACCATGGGCTGTGGCTGTGCAGCCTTGTTTTTAATTCAATCATCTTTTCTCCACTGGTTCACATTACGATTTCCAAGATGTTTTATGTTCTTTTCTGATTGACTTGCTATCGACCCAAATCCTTTACCTCTAAATATATATTCTTCTTTAGAATTTATGTCACATTGTAAATGATATATGAGCTCCTCGAGGCTAGAGACTAGGTCTAATTATGCAGAAGGGGAGTTTTCAACATTATTGGACTCCCTACAGTGACAAACCTTTCCATAAATGAAAGGATCACATCTTAATTGATCTCTTTCTTAAGTTTAGATTTTTGTGGCTTTTTAAAAATTGGGACTTTTCCTTTGTGAGACAGTGTGTATAGTAGAAACAACTTCAGAATGAAATGCGAAAACATCTAGGCTCTAGTCCCAGACCTGTCATTTTCTAACTCGATACATGAATTTGGGCAGAGCGTTTAATCTGTCATCTTATTTGGAAGTAATAGCGAGAGAGACTATATGATATATTACAAAGAAAAAAAGGGAAAGCAAAATACAGCTGTGAAAACAGCATGTAGGCAAACTGGGAGGGACTCTGCAAGAAGAAAGTAGTTGGAGATTTTTAGTAGTCATTACTTTTATTTGAAAATTTTTACAGTGTTTTACTGCTTTGTGTTGTTATTATCTAATTTAAATATGAGTAAAAAATATTGAGTTTTGGTTAAAAGGCAGAACTTTGTTCTTATCCAGCCTGAACCATTTATTTGCTAACTAATCCCAGTCGAAGGAGAAGAAATGTGATATTTTAGTTTTATCTTGAGGAAAGGTCCAGCTTCTTTTGTGCTGTTGAAAGCCTAGAAATAGCTTTTTGGCTTTTAAATAATGATGATACTGATTCTGTGACTCATATACCTTTTTTCTATGTCATTGGCTTATTATGAGATTCAAATTATTTAAGGTATATGAAGTTGCTTTGAAAATGGTTGGCAGTGGGGATGCCTGGGTGGCTCAGTGGGTTAAGCATATGCCTTCAACTCAGGTCATGATCCCAGGGTCCTGGGATCAAGTCCCTCATCGGGCTCCTCATTCAGCGGGGAGCCTGCTTCTCCCTCTGTCTGCTGCTCCCCCCGGCTTGTGTGCTCTCTCTCTCTCTCTGACAAATAAATAAAATCTTTAAAAAAAAAGAAAGTGGTTAGAAGTTATATGAATTCCTAAGATATTGTTATTACGTCCTTTCAGCCCCCCCTTTCCCTTCACCCCTACAAACGTTTTCTTTTGAAGTGATTGAAATTGAAGTAGTTTATTCTAAACTGGCTATAAAGTTTCAATTCATAAGGTTCCAGTCATTTTCCATTATATTTGTAGCAGCTAAACTGACAGGAGCTGTGGGCCCATCTTCTTTTAGTTCTGCTCATCTGGGAATGCAGAAGCAAAAAAGTGGGAGGCCTGGAGCCTCCACTACACAGGATTTCCTACTCTATCTACACGTAGCTCGAAACCACATTCAAACCAAAGTACTACTTTTAGTTTCACTGAAACTAAGATGATGTTTTTATTGCCATATGAACATTTTATGTATTTATTTAATGTATGTTAGAAAAATATATGTTAGAGTCTACTTTTGAAAGTAAATTTATTTAGGGTGCCTGGGTGGCTCAGTCGGTTGAGCAGCTGACTCTTAATTTCGGCTCAGGTCATGAGATCAGGGTCATGAGATCAAGCCCTTCGTTGGGCTCTGCCCTTAGCACAGAGTCTGCTTGAGATTCTCTCTCTTCCTCTCCTATGGCTCCTCCCTCCCCTAAAAAAATATTGAAATAGTAATTTAAAAAAAGAAAGTAGGGCGCCTGGGTGGCTCAGTCATTATGCGTCTGCCTTCAGCTCAGGTCATGAGCCCAGGGTCCTGGGACGGAGCCCCGCATGGGGCTCCCTGCTCAGCGGGGAGTCTGACTCTCCCCCTCCGACTCCCCCAGCTTGTGTTCCCTCTCTCGCTGTGTTTCTCTCTGTCTCTGTCAAATAAATAAATAAAAATCTTTAAAAGAAAAAGAAAGACAGGGGCACCTGGGTGGCTCAGTTGGTTAAGTGACTGCCTTCAGCTCAGGTCATGATCCTGGAGTCCCAGGATCGAGTCCCGCATCAGGCTCCCCACTCAGCGGGGAGTCTGCTTCTGCCTCTGAACCTCTCTCCTCTCGTGTTCTCTCTCTCATTCTCTCTCTCAAATAAATAAATAAAATCTTTGAAAAAAAAAAAGAAAAAAAAGAAAAAGAAAGAAAACTTGTTTTAATATTATAAAAGTTAATTAATTTAAATAAAATGTTCACAAACTTATGGTAAGCAAAAACAAGAAAAATTATGAAAGTGGGCCCACATAGCCAAACTTTGGGGAATAGGAATTTAGGTGAGCAAGATCCTGCTGTGGAGAAGCAGGGAGAGCTTTATGGAATGGGATAGATGTTTCCTAAAGTTGCTTCAATGTACAGTTCAAATTGAGAAGTTGATATATTATTCTTGGATGAAGAACATTTTTGGTTTAAGTGAGAATGAATGGATTTCACCTGTGCATTGCATATATGGTCATATATTTAATTGCTTTTGAGAGTTACTTAAATTTCCCTGATGTAAAGATCTTGCATCTTCTGTCTTTGAAAACAAAGCCCAGTTGGTAAATAAGAAAGTCTATTCATAAATGATTAGTCAATCTGAGCAAG